TTGAAGCAGTCCAATTATTTTTTTTTTGACAAGTAAACTAATTTGATTATTTACATTATGATATGAGTAAGTTATGAAACAATTTAACTATTTGACAAGTTACGTGTCAACTACTTGATTTCTGCGTTCTTTAAATTTTGAACAATTCAGTAAAACATTTTACTTGCCAAGTAACGCGTCAAGTACTGACAAATTGCATTAAGTGAGCAGTAAGCAAGAACAAATTGAAGCAGTCCAATTATTTTTTTTTTGACAAGTAAACTAATTTGATTATTTACATTATGATATGAGTAAGTTATGAAACAATTGGACTATTTGACAAGTAGTTGATACGTAACTTCTGCATTCTTTAAAATTGGAACAATTCATTCAAACATTTTACTTGCCAAGTAACGCGTCAAGTACTGAGAAATTGCATGAAGTGAGCAGTAAGCAAGAACAAATTGAAGTTGACAAGAAATTTTGTCAACCTTCAAATTTTTAATGTTTACTATAGATTTGATACTTGCCAAGTGATTAATTTGAAAGTGTCTTTGTTTTTTAGGTACTTTGGTATCAAAACTCGTTCCTGCTTCAACCAACTGATAGAAGACTGATGAGCCATCAAGGTCTGACCCATTCGCTGATGATCCGCAATCTGCAGCTCTCCGACTTCGGCAACTACAGTTGTTCAGTGGTGAACTCCATCGGAAAGGAGAAGAAGTACATCGAACTGTCAGGAAAACCGGGTCCACCGAGCATCACGAGCGCCCAATACTCGAACCCGCACGATTACGACCTGACCTGGACCGTCCAGAGCGTCTTCCCCATCCTGGAAGTGCGCATCCTCTACAGAATGATGCAGGTTAGATAATCACAACAACAAAATTGCAATTGCTAATTTTGATTAACGAATTTGTTTAATTTCAGATCAACGCCTCGTACCATCATCCGGGTCAATGGCACGACCTCCTGGTGCGACCCCATCAGATCTTCAACGCCGTCACCGGAGAGCGAAGACAGAGTTACCACCTGGTGAACTTGCAAGCGGATTCCGTGTACGAGTGTCTAGTCCAAACCAAGAACCAGCACGGTTTCGGCGAATTGAGCGATCTGCACCAGTGGTTCACCTCGCAGAAGGGAAGACCTCTGGTGCGATCATCCTCCGCCTCCAAGAGCTGCCATCCCTTAGCAACGATCGCAGCTGCAATGATTATCGTCAGCGTCGCCCTCTGTTGACACCCGAAGCCAATAACTAAGAATAATTAAGACAAAGCGTATTTTATCTTGTTTCACGATCTAGCACTAATACTATTTAATACATATATATATAACACAGTGGAAAATCAACCCTTAAAATTGGAATTTTTGATCAATCTATAAACGAAATCAAAATGAAATTAATCAAAAAAAAAACAATAATATTTTGATACATTTTACTTAAATTAATTTCAAGAGTACCAATCAATTTGAAGAGAAAAAAAAAATCACTGTAATTTTTTTTTGTGTGCTCATGTTGGTAATGAATTTTCTCCACTGTATAGGGACTATTTAACGTGAAATATTAACTTAATTAATTAATCATTAAGTAAATCATAATGGGATGAAACAAAAAGAAATAATATCAATTCCACCCAAAAGTTCGCTTTTTTCATCTTTGCTTTTCATCAGAATTGATTAGTAAGATGAAAAATAGAACTTTTGCAATTATTTCAATTGGATTTTCAGGAAGAGAGTTAAATTATGAAAAAAAAAAAAGTTTTCGATTGTTTTTAAAGAACAAAATCATAACTTTTCTAACGGAATTTCAGGATGTGCTAAATTTTGAAGATATTTTTATATTTTCTACGAGAAAAGACGTGCGTTTGTTTAAAAATTTTCCTTTCTGATCGATTTATATGATAATCGTGTGTACGTTTTAAGCTTAGTCACAATTATTCGATTATGATTGACGGCGTGAATGGAAATCGATTGATTAAGAGGTGTGGAAAAGTTGCGGTGATACGTGCGTTCGTACAGGAAAAACGTTTCCTCATGTTTATTTATTTATTTATTTATTTATTTATTTATTTATTTATTTATTTATT